GGTACAACTTACAATGGAATACTACGTAACCAAAAAGAAAAATGAGTTCTGAAACATCCTGCAACATGGATGAATCTGGAGGACATGATGCTAAGCGAAATAAGGACAAATACTGTATGATCTCACTTTTATAAAATGACAGGAATAGGTATATATAGAGACCAATGTTCACTGGCGGTTACCAGGGGTTGGTGGGGAGGAGAAGCGGGGAATCATTCTCTAGATAGTAGTCACTTTTTGTTTATGGTGATGGGAAAGGTAGTACTGAATGTGGGTGAAGTATGCACAGCTTGACTAATGTAACTGATGCCACTAAGTTGTACACAAGAAAAAGGATGTATTGGTAAATGCTATGTTACATATAATTTTGCAAAAACAACCACCACCAAATATTTATATGGAGCCCTGGAGGAGCAGTGGTTAAGAGCTCAGCTGCTAACCAAAAGGTCAGCAGTTCGAATCCATCAACCACTCCTTGGAAATCCTATGGGGCAGTTCCACTCTGTTCTATAGGGTCACTATGAGTCAGAATCGACTTGATGGCTACAGGTTCTTGGTTTATATATATAAATATATATGGTTTTTGGTGTATATATATATATATATATAGGGGCTACAGATGCTGACACTTCTTAGACATAACCAATCACCTCACACAATTAGTTTTCTTGGTTTGAAGACTGAGGTTCATAGTCTTGTGAGACAACTCAGTCAAGTGACATAATACAGTTTATAAAGTTTATGTTCTACATCCTAGTTTGGTGAGTAATGTCTGGTGTCTTAAAAACTTGCAAGTGGCCATCTAAGATACAAGCATTGGTCTCTATTTGCCTGCAGCAAAAGAGAAAGAAGAAAATCTGAAAATCAGAGAAGGAACTGGACTACAGGACCAGTTGTCTCCAAGAACCATGGCCTCCTCTATCTTGAGACCAGAAGAACTACATGATGCCTGGCTACCACTACCGAATGTTCCGATCAGGGTCATAATAGGAGGATCCTGATAGAAACAGAGAAAAATGTGGAAAAGAATTTTAAATTCTCAAAGAATCCAGACTTACTAAACCCACTGAGACTGGAGGAATCCCCAAGATTATTGCCCTGAGATATTCTAAACCTTGAACTGAAACTATCCCCTGAAGTCACCTTTTAACTAAATAGCAGGTTAGCTCAAAAAGTAAGGAATGTCACCCTTGAGTATTGCGCTCTTTTCAAAAAATTATCTATATGAGACCAAATGGGCAACAGTTACTCTAAAGCATGGATGAGAAGGTCAGGGGGCAGTGAGACTAAGTTAATGGGAATGGAACAACTAGAACAGAAATAATGAGAATGTTGACACAATGTGAAGACTGTAACCAATGTCACTGAACAGTATGTATAGAAATTATTGAATGGGAACCCGTTTTTCTGTGTATACTTCCACCAAAAATACAATAAAATTAAAAAAGAAATACAAATCCACTGAAATAAGCATTTCTCTGACTTCTTAGGGGGGTCATTTAAAAATATGACATTCCTCACCCGCTAACCCCCACCCTTTCACACCCAAAACTGCTAAAATTTTAAAGTCCTGACAAAAACAAGGGTTAGCAAGCATAGGAAGAAATGTGAATTCTCATACATTGCTGACGAGCATATAAATTGGTGCATCTCTTTTGGGAACCAATCTGGTCACATACAGTAAAGGTGAAGAGGCATATACCCTATGACTTCTTATATCCTGGAGGAACTCCAGCACGTATGCACATGGGTACAAGAAGACATGTTTGGTGAAAGTGATACAGCAAAAAATTGGAAACAATCTAAATGTCAATTGTGTTTTACAATATGATACAGCAGTTAGATGAATTTCAGCAACACAACATGTATAAATTTACTCAAGATACTGAATGAAAAAGGATGCAGAGAAAGATACACAGAGTGTATTATTTATGTAAAATCTAAGAACACAAACAATACAATATGTAGTGAAAGTATGAAAAGATGGAAGGAGACACACCAAATTCAGAATAATTATTACCTCTAGGGAGGAAGGGAAGGGACACAGGGGGCTTCAAACATATTTATGTTTTACCGTTAACAACAATAACAAAAAAGGTTTGGAGGAGGGAAAAAAGTCTAAAAACTTTTTATTGGTTCACTATAGTGTTATTTTACCATTTATGGAACATACTATGCTTAGGAAATTTCAGTTACTCTATTTATAAATAATGTACATGAAAGGAAAATTCAGTAAGAACTAACCCCAGAACAGTGACATGAAGAGAAAGAGAAATCAATATGGACATAAAAAGTATATGACAAAAGATGACTAGTGCCCCAATGAGAAATAATTATACATATTCTCAGAGTTTTACTTTCAGTTATCCTATATGAAAGTCTTACCAACTGATGTCTAGAATAAAAGCCTGGGTACTCAGGGAAAACAATGAATTTCCTAAGACTAAACGCAGTAAGTTCAGGGTTAAACAATTCACAATACCATTTGATGGGAAGATAATAGTTTTAAATAAAAACAAACATAGTAAACTAAATGAAATTTATTATCCCCATACACACCAAACCTGCTTATCTTCTCCATCTTGTGGAATAGAACCCAACTACAGTAGTTAGTTGTTTAAACCAGAAACCCATATCCAGCCCACTATCAAATTCTACTATTTCACCTCCTAAACAGCTTGACAACCTATCCACTTCTCTCCATATCTGCTAGCTAGCCTAGTTCAGACCACTATCATCTCTTACTTAAATTTTTGCAAGTCTCCTCCCTAGCTTCTTTATCTCTGTCCCTAGGCTCCCATCCAATCTCCATTCTGTAGCCAGAATAATAATTCTAAAATAAAAATCATGTAACTTCTCTGTTTAAAACTTTTCAGTGGCTCCCCATTGTGCTCAGGACAGTTCAAACTCCTCCATATGGCTTACAAAGTGTGTCAAGAAATAGCTTTTGCTTACCTCTCTAGCCTCATCTCTCAGTAAAACTAAGCCCCATCCCTTCAACTCTACATCAAGCTATATAAAACACTTGCTAGTTTTATCTGAATGCAATGGGCTCTCTCTTCTCTGGGTTTTATACATGATTCTTCTGCCTAGCATGCTTTGCCTATCCCCCTTTTTCTTCCCCTCTACCCTATTTTCCTAGCTAATTCCTTGTCCTTTAGATCTCAGTTTTATTTCACGTCATCTCTTCAGCAAGCCTTCCTTTACACTTCTTATCAAGTCCAGAATTAGGCTTCCTTCTATGTCTCCCAGTATCCTGAATTTCCTCCATCCAGGCATTTATCACATTATATCTTAAGAACGTAAGTACCCTAAGAGCAAGGGCAGTATTTGTCTTGTTCATTATTGTGTCCCTCGTACCTAACATAATGACTGGTACATACTAAACAGTTAATATTCATTAAATGAATTGATGATTTTAAACCAGAAACCAATCGTCCTGGATTGAATTGTGCCCCCTCAAAATATCTGTCAACTTGGCTAGGTCATGATTCCCAGTATTGTATGACTGTCTACCATTTTATCATCTGATGTGATTTCCCTATGTGTTATAAATTCTATCACTATGATTTAGTAAGATGGATTAGCGGCAGTTATACTGATGAGATCTATAAGATTAGATAGTGTCTTAAGCCAATCTCTTTTGAGATATAAAAGAGAGAAGCAAGTAGAGAGACAAGGGGACCTCATAACACCAAGAAAGCAGCACCAGGAGCAGAGTGCATCCCTGGGAACTGAGGTTCCTGGGCTGAGATGCTCCCAGACCAAGGGAAGACTGATGACAAGGACTTCTTCCAGAGCTGACAGAGAGAGGAAGCCTTCCCCTGGAGCCAGCACCCTGAATTCGGACTTCTAGGCTACTGGACTCTGAGAGAATAAACTTCTCTTTGTTAAAGCGATCCACTTGTGGTATTTCTGTTATAGCTGACTAGATGACCAAGACACCAATTAAATAAGGTTATCATCTTGTCAGAAATGTTATCATGTACAATATTGGTATAAACAAATAAAATAAAATTTGCAAATGTGTACATTTTTAGAAGTCCAAACCTAATGTATTATATTCTAGCTTAACAGAAATTTTATTTAATATTATACCAGGGTTAGCTTTCCCACTTGATACTTCATCCCAAATGAAGAAAGATGAGCAAGAAAACATCTTGATAAATAACTCATTCCACTGTTCTTTCCTACTTAGAAAATCAACTTCAGTATAAAAATTTTAAAAAAAACCAATTGCGGTAGAGTCAATTTCGACTCATGGTGACCCCATAGGTGTCAGTGTATAACTGTGCTCCATAGGGTTTTCAATGGCTGTGATCTTTCAGAAGTAGATCGCCATGCCTTTCCTTCAAGCAGCCTCTGGGTGGATTTGAACCACCAATTGTTCTGTTAGTAGCTGAGTGCTTAAAAATTTGTGCTTCCCACAGACTAGCATGAAGATAGAGGTTACATATTTTATTCCCCCAATTGATAGTGACAGGACATACTAATAGTAGTAAACTACAGAATCATAAAAAAAGTAAAAGATGGCAAAAGTAAACTATCGTAAAATAAGTTGCAATTTAAAAAAAAAAAAAGAGGTTTTACAAACAATAGGTCAGAAAGCAGGATGTTCCATACTGCAGAACACTTTAAAAATATGATTGTCCATACCCAACACATCTTGGTTTGTAAGTACTGAGTATATAAACTTTGATTATCAATTCCCTTAGAGCTTTACATACAAAGCAGTCAAGCATTAATGGGTGCTTTGAAAAAAAAATTTGGAAAAATGATTATTTCTTCTTCTTATACACTAAAATTGCCACTTAAGTTAGTCCCTATAAATATAAGCTTTCACAGTAACAAGCTGTCATTTCCTAAAGAAAGGGACTTCTTTTGTCCTCAAGGCTATGAAATCTCAAAATACAGGTCTTTTTTCACATTAACATTGTTCAAATAGATTGAACAAAGAAGCCAGGTAAGACGTGTTTTATAGAATGGAAGAATTCTCTTACCTGGAAGATTACCCTTTGAGATGGTATCTGTATCCAAATTGTAGGTGTCCTGGAGACGCAACAAAGCTTTAGCTGCCCCAATTTGATCTTCGTCATTAGGGAAGTACTGTCTCTGAATGGTTAGGTTAGAGATAAACCCTTGAAATACAAAAAAAGAAAGGACTTCTAAACTTCCAATACAGAAGCTTTATAAGGATTTTTCAAAATCTATTTCATAATAGTTTTCTACCATGCCATGAAAGTTCTGTATACTTGGCAAGAAAAATTAAATACACGGAATGAGACTTGACATATTGCTACTTGTACAAACTTCCCAAAACCTTTTTATTTTCTTATTTTTTCCCATACAAAAATGTATACATACTTTGTTATGTGACTCTAATTGCTCTCCCCATACTGTGACAGCACACTCCTCCTTTCCACCCCTGATTCCCCATGTCCATTCAACCAGCTCCTAACCCCTTTTGCCTTCCCATCTCACCTCCGGACAGAAGCTGCCTGTTTAGTCTCTTGTATCTACTTGAGCTAAGAGGCACACTTCTCACGAGTATCGCTTTATGTCCCACAGT